CCTGAAATCCACCACCAGCTCCTTGGTCTTCTTGATGTTCAGAGAGAGGTTGTTGTTGTGGCACCAGTTAGTCAGGGTGCACACCTCTTCTCTCTGTGTGTGTGTGTGTGTTTTATGTGTTTGTGTTTGAGGTGTTCTTTCTAACTTCTGTCATGTGTGTGTGTGTGTTATATGTGTTTATGATTTAAGGTGTTGCTGCTAACTTGCGTTGTGTGTGTTGCTTTTTTTATATCACAGACAATCATCTGACATTGAATCGAGTGAAGTCTGGGAGCCAGTCAGCAAAAAGCCATATACTGAGGGACATGATGACAGCACCTCAGAAAAAAATCGTTAAAAAAACACTATAATGTGTTTATGCTTCAGTTACTATGTGTCAGCAATTATTGACAGTGAATCTGGATAAGAAATTGAATAGGTCTAAGTGTAAGCTTTCATTAGAGCCCAAAATTATGACTGTACATTAAAGCATTCAAGAATTGCAGCATTTTATGTGTCGTTGGTTACAAAGGGGCATTTGGAGTCTCCAAGTGGCTTTTTTTGGGAAGCTCCTAGACATACATTTAGATAAACATGTGCAAAACACTCATTTTCTAAGGTATTGTTATCAAATTTGAAACATTTTGCTTGGTAAGACTTTATTCTGTGATCCAAATGTATTTTCCAGCTAATAGCTCCCAGCTATAGTCATCTGCAGGCATCTGTTTACCAAAATGTTTTATTTTATTTTTCAGTGTGTTCAAAGTTTTATTACTCAATACCAATAAGACTTACAGTGATTCTGACTGTTGAGGAACACACCTCAGAGTGTCACCTTTCAAAAGAGACCAAAACCATGTATGTACTCCAAATGGTTCAAGAACAGCATGCAATTTACTTTGGGTATGCCTTTTTTATGCGTTTTAGGCAAATTTAACAGGAACGGTAAAGGGTTAAATACTCAAATGTGGGGATTGTTATTTTATACAATGGCAAACAAGAAATACCATTAATTGTAATGAACTATTCTTTTCTTATTTGCATTTCAGTTATTCCAGGAAATTGGCCCAATGCATGCTGTAACTGATTTTAGGTGTTTCCAGGATTCCTTAAAGGGTAAGTTCACCCAAGAATGAAAATTGTCATGAATTACTCACCCTCATGTTGTTTCACATGGTTCAGGAAGAACCAGCACACACAATATCCCACTGTGCAGATTTTGGGAACGTCTGACTGGACACAAGTCTTCAGTGAGAAGAGAATCTTTAGCATTGTAAAAATGGAGGGATCTGAAATTTGCCGAGCAGTTGAGGTGGAGGTGTTTTTTGAAAATGTGAAATAAATTCAGGGATGTTGTGTGAAAAGTAGGGGGAAAATGTTTTCTAGTTTTGTTACATAATATAACATTTGTAATTGTATTTTATGTACTGTAACATTTTAGTTTAATTGTATTGTGAAATGTTTTGCAGCAATTTTAAATTGATACTCTGCTAAAATCTTTATTGTAATCTGAACACAAATTTACACAAATAAATATTTTACTGTTCAACCACTTATGTCTATTTGATATGTATTTGCAGTTACTGATATTAAAATATCTTTTGGTTTCAGTTGTTGAATGTGCATGTTATTCAATACGAAAATTGCCTTTAATAGTTCTTGAAGGAACATATTTGCCACAGTTAAGGAACAAATGGGCGGTACCTTAAAGGACAAGATTTGTACCTTTGATGAATGTACAATATTGTATCAACAAGTTTTTAAAATGAAAAGGTACATTTTGGTTCCCCATGGTACAAATCATGTCCTTTAAGGTACATATTGGAATGGTACAAATATTTTCCTTTATATTAAGGTACAATTCTGTGCCCTTAAAAGGTACTGCCACAGTGACAAGGGTTTGTACTTTCTTTGGTACAAAATTGTACCTTTTTTTTCTGAGAGTGTGATATAACAAAGGTTTAATGTTGTCAAAATTAAGTCTAAAGTTAAGGCAAAAAAAAGGAAATAATGCACACACAAAACTGTTATAATGCACACAAACTGTTATCTCCCCTCAATCCCAAAGTACATTTGAAAGATATTAGAACATCCTTTGTCACTAAGGAACTGATAGAGCTGTCCAAGGTCCATGTGGTTTCCTCTGGTCCCGTGAGTGTCAAAAATTGCTTCATGAAAGCCAGTGAACTTGCGGAGAGAGTCAGTTCTCTCCTCTGTCCAGTTGTCCAAAGGGACATCCTCTCTGTGACGAATCATAATTCTCTTCCATGTTAAAACTTTCACCCTGGAAAAATAAATAAATAAATAAATAAAGGTAGTTTGTCTGGAATATTGAAAATATTGTTAGTTAGTTTGAAACAAAATTTCCCCAAGGGGATAAATAAAGTCATGGTGTCTTGTTTCAATATGCGGTTCTTTCGAAAGACAATGCAACATAAATTTCACAGCAATTAATCAAGAAATACTAATACTGAATGAGACCTGCTCATTTAATGAGAGAGAGAGAGAGAGAGAGAGAGAGAGGTGGGACAGAGTGCGGTTCAGTTGGGCTTGGACGTGGTACGCATGTAGTGTAAGCGCTAACTGTGCCGGAGTGCGGAACTTCTGATACATCTGAGTACGATTGCGTGAACATTTCTGAGTGACAAAAGCGATAGATCTGCAATATATTGTGATCCCAAATACTCAAAATAATAATAATAAACCACAAAGTTAACAAAACGATGCACTCCACTTTGCTGAGTGAGAGTGCTTCTCTGCTGCCTTCACGTGCTATTTCCCACTTATGAAGTCGTGATTACGAGCTCGTTGCATTCAAATGATTTGTTGTCGGAAAGAATAAAATGTAATATTCCATTACTTGATAACCATAAACATTCACTGCGCTAGATACATCAGCTTGATTTGATTCTGGAATTTCAGTCAAATACATGCTTATTTTGCTGTTTATAATAAGTAAAATATGCTTCAAATGCCCATATATAAATAGGCACTACTTTAACGACAAGACAAGGTGATGTATTTGTTGTTTAAAAAAAAAAGAATAATAAATAATAGCATTGACAGCAGCAATCGTTGTCCCCTACAACATTTACGATAAATCCGATAACACTTGAAGGCAGTATAAGCGTGCTCCGGCCCGGAACGTAAAGTGCAATGTGAGCGCAGGCCAGCAGGGGAGTGGGGAGGGGGGACAATCATGCTCGTGCTCGGTTCAAGCCAACCGTGCATAGTGTAAGTACACCCTAAAAGGTAAAGGGGGAGGTGTTGCTACAGTTTTTAGCAATATCTTCAGTATTTCTCAGAGGTAGGGTTTCAAGTATAATTCGTTTGAAGTAATGGTGCTTCATATAACATTATCCAGAGAAACAAATGTTAATGATAAATCCCTTGTGACATTTGTACTGGCTAGTGAATACAGGCCACCAGGGCACCATACAGACTTTATTAAATAATTTGCTGATTTTCTATCTAAGTTAGTGCCGGCTGCAGATCAAGTCTTAAATGTTGGTGATTTTAATATCCATGTTGATAATGAAAAAGATGCATTTGGATCAGCATTTATAGACATTCTGAACTCTATTGGGGTTAGACAACACGTGTCGGACCAGAGGTGGAAAGTAAAGAATTACATTTACTCGCATTACTGTGATTGAGTAGCTTTTTTGTGTACTTCAATTTTTTTATGTAATTTTTAATATCTGTAATTTTACCTTTACTTAAGTACATTTTGTTTGAAGTATTGTACTTTGCTATATTTTAAAACACATTAATTACTGAGTAAAAAAAATCGCTCCCTGGAAACTACTGCAGTACATAATGGGCAGGAGAGCAAACTGGTGCATTATGGTGCGGACCCAGCTGAAAAAGAAACCCCGTAGTATTCTGCTGAAGTTGAACTCAAAGGAAATGAAGTGAACCCCTGGCCATATTTAAGCCTTATTATGCAGTGTAAGCTGTTTTTGTCTAGGGAGAACAAACTAGCAGCTTATACATTCTCGACATCAACCCTTCGCAAGCATGTATAGGTAAGGTAAATACTTGCATCATTGTATTGGTGGTTAAAATGAAGCTTTGACAATTTAGCAAAAGGTTTTGCACAAATTAGCCAAAAAGACAGTGGTGCAGGGTGTGCGATATATATCGTCTGCGATAATATCGTAATTGTTGTTTTAACGATGTGCAATTTGACATTATCAGTATTTTGCCAAAAACCAAACAAAACACTCACAGAGTGCCTTGAAGTCTAGTAGATTAGACTAGTGCGCGCACATTTAGAGTGTGTTCTTTCACTGCATGATTCAGTCTGTTAAAATGCATTTAGAATGATCACAAAATTGAAGATATAGGGGCAGAAAATGTATATATTTATATAATTTCATATAGTAGATCAAAATCACACGAAGAGTGCCATTTTTTCTCCAAAAATCAGCATGATTATATATAGATTTTTTACTACAGTTCAATAAACAAGAAGTTAATTAATAGCCTTTTTTTTTTAAACCATATCGCCTGATTTTGCTCTATTTCGACAACAAAAAGAATTCCAAACACAGCCACTATTGCACAGTTTTGCGTCTATGAGCAACATGACGGTGTTTCGTTCCTGAATGAATCAACCATTTAAATGATTCGCAATCAATAAAATCAATCACAGTGACTCACTTATTAACAGTGACTAGCTGACACCTACTGGCGGTTTTAATGTACTTTTTTTTTTCATAATTTCAAATGAGTATTCAACATTTTATGTCTCATATATCAAAACATTATTTCTGCATTTGTAACTGCAGGCTAAATGCATTCATGTTCTGCATTAAACAGTGTGTAATCTAAATGCCACTTCAGATGAAGCTTCTGTGTTTGCAAAGATGAATTTTGTTGATACTGATTTAATTTGCCTGGTAACAGCCCAAATGTCTTATTATTCTAAATAACTGGTTCCTTTAATTAAAAACAACTAGTTGAGATTTATAGGCCTATCCCAGGGGTGTCAAACTCAGTTCCTGGAGGGCCGTAGCCCTGCAGAGTTTAGTTCCAACCCTGCTCCAACACACATACCATGTAGTTTTCAAATAAGCCTAAATGATTAGATTAGCTGGATCAGATGTGTTTAATTAGGTTATGTCTAAACTGTGCAGGGCTGTGGCCCTGACACCCTTGGCCTATCCCATTTTTGCCTCCCTCCCACTGTTAAAATGTAACCAAGTAATTTTTTACACTGATTAAATTTTAAATGAGCAACTTTTTACTTTTACTTGAGTAGATTTTTAGACTGGTACTTTTACTTGTACTTAAGTAAAATTTCATTAATGTAATGGCACTTTTACTTGAGTAGAATAGTTTCATACTCTTTCCACCTCTGGTCAGGACCTACTCATTGTCTAAATCATAGTCTAGATTTAATACTCTCACATGGAATTGATGATAACGGCATTGAAATTCCACAGCAGAGTGATGATATCTCTGATCATTATCTAGTCTCGTGTCTATTCCATATAGCTAAAGCTGCAAATTCAACTTCTTGTTACAAATATGGTAGAACCACCACTTCTACCACAAAAGACTGCTTTGTAAATAATATTCCTGACTTATCTCAATTCCTCAGCATATCCAATAGCGCAGATGATGTAACTTGATGATGTAACAGAAACTATGGTATTTCTCTTCTCTAGCACTTTAGATACAGTCGCACCTTTACGCTTAAGGAAGATTAAGGAAAACAGTCACCGTGGTATAATGAGCACACTCGTACTCTAAAGAGAGCAGCCCGGAAAATGGAGTGCAGCTGGAGGAAAACAAAACTAGAGGTATTTCGTGTTGCATAGTGGGAAAGTACTTTCTCTTACAGAAAAGCCTTAAAAACAGCTAGATCTGATTACTTTTCATCTCTTTTAGAAGAAAACAAACACAACCCCAAGTAGGGTAAATGTACCTATTAAGCTCACCAAAATCTACATTGAGACATTTTTAGTGCACAAGATATTGGTTTCAGTACAAAAAGTTCTGTTGAAATAAAATATTAATCTCTCACACAAAAATATTACATTTTATTTTAAATGACAAAAGCTTTTCAATTAAAGATATACATCATTAAATTAAAAAAGTCTGGCTGTGCTTAATGGGTACATTTTTGTACCCTTTAAGCACGCCCCTGTTCCCATTAAGCTCACATCATGTTTTATTAAAAATTCTTGTTTATTTTAAACAACCTTTTTAAAGAATAATTAAAAAATATATATTTTTTGAAGGTACAAAGTCAATCACAAAAAAACAGAACACTAAAATCAAGCAACAAAACATTCAATTTGATTAGTTATACATTCATAATGAAGTGTCATTTAAGCACATTGCAACATCTAGACTAGTCCACGTTCAGCTAAGTAACACATATTCAAAAATCAAATAAAACAAACCAATGAAACATTTGATTCGTGGGGATGAACACAGAAACTAGCCTCATTATGAAGCCTCTTATTAAATGGATGTCAACTTATCTATGGTCTCTTAAGGCTGGAATACACTACACAATCTTTCCCCTTGATTTTCCACCGATTTACAATCTAGAGAAGTTGATGCTAGTTGTCAGATGTCAGAGCCAGTCTGTAGATTTGAGATGACAGAATACATAGAAAATCAATGAACTTAACTTAAAGTGACAACCATCAGTTAAAATGTAAAGTCTGTTTATGAAGTATTTACATAGACGTTCAATGTGGAAGAGCTTAAAGAGAGCACACTGAGCTTAATTGCAGCAACAATTTT